ATCGTTGGGAATTCCGGCTGTAACAAATGAATAGAGCCTAGTTTGGAGCGTGTAGGTAGAGACTCTAAACAATAAGCACTGAAATACGCCCGAACCCTCAATCCCAGACGCTAACCCCCAAGCCCTAAACCGCTAGATGGTCCATGTCTCACAGAAGCTCACCATACGCTAGCCAAGCACTGCAACCGGGAAGCATTAAAGTGGAGTTTCACACAAGTATATTACAACCCCCAAATTGGGCCACAAGGCCCATAATTGTGGGTATTGAAGCCCACGTAGACGGCAGTTGGACTAGGCTTCTAGAAGCCTTCGCCGTGACCTCCATCATCCCCCTGGGGTCCCTAAAGTACCATATTTTGAGAAAGCAGTAGGCAGAGCCAACCAGCTAGTTGAAAGACATGCGGCAGCTTCTGCAGAGTGGTGTTCAGCCATGTTAGTATGAGTAAAAGGCGTTCTTGATAGAACCCTCGATCATTCTTTGCGTCAAGGCTCCATCAAAGCTTCGTGACCAACATGTCAAGAAAATGCGAAGCGCAAGCCCTAGATCCAGAACCCTACCTGAGCCATAGTCTAGACTCCTAGTATCTCCCTGAATAACCCCTAAAATAGCCTCCCATAGAATCCGCCAAATATGACCCCCTTTGAGGAGTTTGGACTATGGCTCACCTGAACATGTTCAGTCGAGAGTCATGGGTTAGTGCTTGCTGCGGGCACCCTGCTGAGAACTTCTGCCACCACCTGGCTCGGTAAGGTTACTTGGGGCATTCTCACAACCAGGACCCTCCTTGTGCCCTTAAATAGGGGTATATGGTCCCTAATAGTGGGTATTTAGGGTATAATAGAGGGTAGAAGGAGGGTCTCACAAAACAAGGTTTAGGGGTTAGGGTTTAGGCATTGGGATCTTATAGGGATATGATAGGGGTATAATATAGCGTGTTATTAGGATAATGGAAAATCAAATGCTTGGGTGCCTAAAGGGATAACATGGAGAAAACGATTGATAATGGGAGCCCCTTACAGCAACAGACTCTTCCGCACCGCCTGACCCATAAGCACCTAACCCTTAATCCCAAGCCTCCATACTACACCTTGAACCCTAAACCCTAAACCGTACGCACTGCCTCAGCTCACAATCTACCAACTCCAGAACCACAACCTCCTCTGACTCCCTAAGCCTAAACCCTTAACCCTAAACCATGCACCCTGAAACCGTGTACCTAAGATGAAGCCCTCGTGCCTCTTTGGGCGGTTCTCTAAAGTCGAAGGACTCCTTCGGGTCGCAACCTCCAGGTTACTGGTTAAGGGTTGAGGTTTAGGGTTAGGGTTTAGGGCTTAGGGTTCAGGGTTTGGGGTTTAGGGTTTAGGGTTCAAAGCTATAACGATAAGCCTAAACAATTGCCAACATCAGGTTGAGATCTACTTGAGGTACCGTATACCAGAGAGTTGTAAGGAATCTATTTGTGTTCCATTATATTCTCCGTGATTCGACCCTAAACAAACACACATTCCCTTCCTGCTTTTAGTGAATCCTGCTGATATTAAATGAGTAATCCAAGGGCCCTAAAGTCTGGAAGAGCACTTTTATAAACGGGCAAGACTACGTTAAAAGGGACCACCGAACAATGAATCCGGGGGGTTCGGAACTGATTAAATATTCAAGGATTGATTAACTAAGATCTCAACTGATTACCTATTCAATCATTAAATAGTGTGATTAACCATTTGATTTAACACGAATATGATATTCCATGGAGTTTAGATGGATTTAAAGAGCAGCCCAATAAATACTCCCCCCCCCCAATATTAAATAATGGCACCGGATTATTCAATATTTGGAGGGGGGAGGGAGGGACATCCTTTCATAGTAGCTAAATCCCAAACCCCAAACCCTGAGGAAGCGATTAGTAGGGGATGCTTTGTCAGTCCGGGGCTTTAGGGTTTGCGAGGGTCTAGGGTTTAGGCTTTAGAGTTTAGGGTTTAGAGGGGTTTAGGGTTTAGAGGGGTTGGACTTGAGGGTTTGGGCTTTGGGGTTTAAGGGTTTAAGTTTTTCGGATTTGCGGTTTCGGGTTTAAGGCTTTGGGGTTTGGAGCTATTGTTGCGATGTACGGCTCCTTCGTGTGTAGCAAGGCTTTTTCATCTGTCGGCTTGAGTAATTTCAAGGGTTTAGTTTTTGTTTAGGGTTTTTAGGGTTTAGGGTGCGCAGACTGCAGTTTAGGGTTTATAAGGTTTTTGTACAAAGCCGGGATCGGATATGGGCTGAGGCTTACGGTTTAGGGTTTGCGGTCTACCTAGAAAGCCAGTTGCCCATAATTGTAGGCAACTTTGGGTTAAAGTACCCCATTATTATGGGTAACTAGGCTCTCTAGGTAGGGTTTAGGATTTAAAGAGGGCTCAGGACACATCGGGTTGCAATGCCCATAAGCTTACGGGCGCGACTTAGGCTAAGGGTGCAGCGATGAATCAAAAGTCAGTAGTTACAAAGGGAATACTCTATACGTCAACCTACTTGAAGAGTCAGGCGGATTGAGTAAGCATACTTATCACCGCTATAAACAATGCAGTAACCCAACTTATCCACATGAAAAACCCACTTGCTAAGTCCCCCTAGTCCGCAAAGAGGTTTCCAATCTTGTGATGTGTACTAGTTGCCTTGTTTTTATCAGTGAGCCCCTAGAAAGCTTATTGATAAGTTTTGGGGTCTAATCGACAAGCAGCGCAGGAGCTTTGAACAGGGAGTTGGCTTCAGAAATGCATGACGACAAGTACCCTAAACCCTAAGCCCTAAACCCTAAACCAATCACCCTGAAATGCTCAGGGCCCTTTCCGGCTACCGACGGCGGGAATAGAGGACCTTCTATAGGGTTCAGGGGTTCAGGGTTAGGTAATGAGGGATTTGTAGCTTTGATCGCTTCTAGCATGCGCCGACAGAAATTTCATGTTTGCCCTTGGAGGCTCGGGCGGACTCAGTGAGTATACTCGACCCCAGTTATCCGAATTATTAACCTATTTACTAAGTCCCCCTGACGCTCCCAAGTACGGGCATGCGCTTGTGGGTTTGGAGTTCCCTAAACCCTAAACCCTAAACCTAATCCCAAAACCCTAAACCCTGAACCCAATCCCCAAGCCCTAAACCCTAAACCCTAATGAGGGCCTTGTGCTGTAATCCTTTGTTTTGTAAGGAGCCCCAAAATGGTAGTCTGCTGAGGAATCATGGCTTTAGGGTTTAGGGTTTCTTTTTTTATGGTATACCCCCTAAAGGAATGAAAAAATATGTTCTTCTTCTAGGTCTAGGGGGATTACCAGAGAAATGACGGCTTTAGTTTTTGGGGACTTGGGGAGTATTTGGAGGGCGCAGCACTCCCAAGGTGCCTTGCCGTGTACTAAGCATGGACAGGGTCCTTTGCTGGCTGAGGACAACTTGCGCAGTTTCTTCACCCTCCCAACCTCCAATTGTGCAACGCCGAGCAAGAAGCCCTTCGTAGCGGAAGGATGCGAAGGTGATCAGGGAGAGCTTGGAATAAAAGTCGATGTTCAACGTCCTTAACCAAGGGCCCGGATGTTCCCGACTTGGAAGTCATAAACCTTGAAGCAAGGCGTAAGCAGATCGCAGGCATTATATGAGGGACTGAGAATTCATAACTCTAACCTCTGTAAGCCGTGTAGAAGCTCCAGCCATTGCTAAAGGGTGTAGGGTTTAGGGTTATTAAGCCTACTTACTACGTGTTTTGAGGTTTAGGGCTTAGGGATTACTAAGCCACCCTGAACCTCCCAGCATCCAAATTGTAAGAGCGATGCCTTGCAGGTTCTGCTTGCAAAGGCGCTGCGGGCATTTTAACGGAGGTGTTAGGGTTTAGGGTCCAGTTCCACAAGGTCACATGAAATATGTGTAGTCCCCCAATTTCTCATGGACGGAAATATGGGTTTGCGCGTTGGTCTGATGGAGGGTTGTACACAAAAACAAGCCCTCAACCGTACCTACACACCACCTGCGGCCCCCAAAAGCCCCAAAACCGTGAACCCAGACCCTAAACCCTAGCCCTATACCCTCAACCCCTAAACTCAAAAACCCTAAACCCTAAGCCCTAGGCCCTAAACCCTAAACCAAAAACTCGAAACCCAGACCCTCAACCCTGCCTGTGCCTAACCTGCGGCCCCGCTGTTGAAGCAGGAAAAGGTCCGTCGATCCAGCCTCACCGCGAGACAGGGTTTAGGGTTTGGGATTTAGGGTTTTAGGGTTTGCGGGTTTAGGGGTTTAGGGTTCCACGGGTCACGGTGTTGTAGAGTTCTAGGGGTTAGGGCTTTCGGGTTCTATCTACTTGAGAAGGACTCTTAAACATTGGCTGTGCGGGATTTCTTGCGGCAAGCAGACGAATCAACCCAAAACCAAGAGCAGCAAAACAAAACCACCCTAAGTCTACTACTCAGTTCGGCGAGCTCGGGGTACCATTTCCCTAAACCCTACACCCCAAACCGCGTTGGAAGCATCC